GAAATACAATCTCACATGATGAATTCATTAAAAAATTTCCACTTCTCCAAACTTTCTGACCACTTCCAATCTCTCTACTTCCTTGACTGTAGGCAAGTTCCAAGTTTGATTTGCAAGAAGACATTTCAGCAGTATTGCCTCTGAGTGTTCTTGCCAACATATTAAATCCTTAGTCATAGAAGGGCGTTTTTATATTTTTAAAAATTATACCTATGTAGGTTTTTTTTTTAATCCTCTGTTGTCCAGCACCACATATAATTCCTTATGTAGTATGATTAGACACCAATTGTAATTCCTTTCATATATTAACTTTTCCTTCTGGGTATAAATTGAGAGCTTAACTTGATTCTATACTTGAAGGCCATGAAAAGAGATGGGGTTAGAGCTTAAAAGAGAAACTGGTCTCTTCCATCAAGAACATCCCATCCCAAAGGTTTATCTTCTTGAACTACTTTCTATTCTGAGCCCAAGTTTCCTTAAAATCAAAGCCTGAGACCGGTAATTTACTTGAGAAGGGACCCAAGGAGACAGTAGTGAAGGGCGGGGAAAGAATCGTGGAAAAAGGAAAGGCTGAGACACAGCTACATTATTGGATTCATTACCACTTAAGGTGACTGATACACATGGGCTTCTGAGGAATTTTATGAACTATCTCCCAGAGCTCTCTGGTCATGCAATGAAAGGGAGAATTATTTTCCATCAGCTTACATCCTCTATTGTGCAAGATTATGTTTTCCTAACAGGCAGGCATGGACAACAAGTGTCACTCCAGCATAATGACCCTTGCTACTCAGAACTGCTTACGGGGTAGCACAGGAAACCCAACTATTCTATTATCTGACTATAAACAATTCTCTGTCCATTCAGTCTGCTAACGGCCTTGCATGTAGTGAGGCTGCTGCAAAAAGGTCATAGAAAAATAATGGAAAGATACTGGAATTTTCCCACAAATTCTTGAAGTCCCTTCATATTTCACCTACTTTCCAACTCTTATTTTTTTTCAATTCCTATATTTCATCCTATTCGGAATGTCCTGCTGCTTTCAAATTCATTCATATTCGATCCCCACCACTTAGTAGCTCTTTGACTAGGTCTGTTTGCTTGTCTATAAGACGGAATAATAAGGGTACCAACTTCATGAGGTTGTTATGAGCACCACTTGAGCTCATGCGGGAAAAGCATTTAACCCCGTCTATACACATAAATGCAAATATCTACAATATTATACGAGGTGATATAAATATATAGAGCTGTAGATACTTCCTTACAACCTGACAATTCATTCTAAGGACAAACGCAAACAAAAATAGAATGCCTGGTTTAAGAAACCCTGCACATAGAATGAACAATAAGAGATCTTAGATCATTTCAAAGCAATGTCAATCTGTCTAATGTAGAAAGCTAAAAAATATTATATCCCTCCTGTTTCAGCTAATAAATTATTATAGGTAAATATATCTGCTCTAAATTGCAGTTGATTATTCTATTAATCTTGTATTTTTTTGTCTAAATAGCAATTTTATTGATAATCTATATGGCAAGTAAAACAAGATATTTTTAAATATAAGATTTCCTCAAACAATATTAATCTTAATCTCAATTATTTATATTTACTCAGTTTTAATTATTCAAATCAAAGGAGCATATTTGATCAATTTTGATAATGAAATATTTTTAAAGGAATTCTCAAATAACTAATACGTTTGTGTACAAGTCTAATGGTTAGATAAATAAATGAGATGTCCTTAGAAATTTTTAATTGCTAAGAACACATCCAGTTTATTTAGATTCATCCCTCTGTAGTCAGACACAAGCCTAGCAATGCCCCAAATTTTCTGTTTTAAAAAAAAATTCTGGCAATCCCAACGTATTGGATGACAGGTATGTTCTCACTATGGTTTAATTGGATCTTGTTTTAGAATAATGCTCAAAGTTTTGTTACATTGTTTTTTCACTAGACCAGTGGTTTCCAGTCTTAATAACATAGAACCGCTTGGAAGTCTTTTTTGAAAAATACATGTGTGTAAGCTTCAATCATAGAGATGATGATTTTATTGGTTTGGGATGGGCCCTAACATCTCCAATGATTGAAGTGTCCAATTAAGACTGAGAACTACTGATTTAGGAAGTATATCTCAGGCTGGGCTACTCTTCAAACCTCTTGGGCACCAGTTAAATGGAGGTCACTCTCAAAATAGGATTCAGGAAGTCTGAGGAGCTCCCAGGGAGCTGTGCCCTTCACAAGCACAGCCAGTGATTTGACAATTGGCCAAGTTTAGGAAACGCTGATCCGAGACATCCAATAAAAATACACAACAAGCTAGACCAGTCTGTTTTGTGCTTAATGATGAAATCTTTTTAACACATTGTTACGTTATCATTTTTTACTTTTAAGTCTGTGTATACGTGTGTGTTTGGTTTAGTTATCTATTTATACCTTTCGGAACATTCAAGAACCAATTAAATGCATTTATAGCACACGCACATATGTACTCAGATATATGTTGTGTACATTTATGTATATGTAGACCCTATGCAAGCAGCCAACCCAAAAGTGCATCTATCTAACCACTCCAAACAATATGTGTAGACATCTTTCCTAAGGATGTTTTTCTTTGTAAGCATGTCTTTCTTCATGACCAACTGCTTTTCTCACCAATTCTGAATCACTATGTTCCAGTCAAATGAATCTGGCATTTTTAATTGGCATCCCAGGAGCCTTGTGGCAATGGGTTTCGTGTGCCGTGTAATCAAGCAGAGTGACTTCTGGTCTTTCCTGCCAGTACACCCCATCTTCACCCTCCTGTGGGAGATAACACCACTAATTGGGTGTGGGAAAGGAGTTGCATTCTGATGACCAGCCTTTTCAAGTGGACCCACCCAGGGAGACTTCCTACAAAGCTACCATCTTGTTGGATAGGCATCATTCAGCCAGGCATCAAATAGCAACTACTAAGTAGGGGTGGGGTATATTTTCATCATTTAAATATTCTAAGCAACATTCTCATTCACGGTTTCTGTTATGCGCATTTGCACTTCTCAAGGCCACATGAATTCTAGAAACACACATCTCACCCAGAAAGACTTCTCTGGAACCTGGGCTCAAAAGGTAAACTATCTGGCTTCTGTTCCCCACGTGGAAGACTTTCCACAGGCAACAAGCAAATAAAACACACAAAAATGAAGGAAAAAAACACAGTTTCTGACAATAATTGGGGTTCTCACTCTTTATTCTCTTTCATTCAGTTTTTCACCTTTTTCTCCATTGACATTTCCCTTTAGATTTCCAAAGTAGATTTTTTTCATTTACTTAAACTCAATGTTTCTTTAGTTTTAATGCTTCTACGAGTAAATAGATTGTTATTGTTATTTGCAAATGGAGCTAGCATAAAATGATTCAGGTACATTAAAAAAAAACAAAACCGAAGATCAACAACAGAATATTCATGGTGATGCTGACAAAAGTTTCACAACTGACTCTTGTGGGGCGGGGATTTTAAGAGCTAATTTTCTTTTCTTTTAAAAAAAATATTTTATTAAAAGCTCTTACAGATAACATAACATTCCACCGTTCAGTCACAGAAAGCAGGATTATACAATTGGTACTACAATCAGTTGCAAAACATTTCCTTTCTTCTTAAACTCCTTGATATCAGCTCCACTTTGTCCACTCCCTCCCCCACCATACCCCCAAGAACCTTGATTCTTTTTTTTCTATAATAGTTGTTTGTGTGTGTGCGTGCGCGCCATATCTTACACAATCCTATCTATCTATTCACATACAATTCTGATGTTTGATTCCATCTAGTGGGGTTATACAGTCATTGATGCTATCACTTCCCCATTCTCCCCACCCCTCACCCCCGTTCTGTACCCTCAGGGAACCATTACTCCTGTTACTGTTTCTGAAGGGTTATCTATCTTGACTTTCACGTGCTGAGTGATCTTAAATATACAGTTGAACATATGCAAATCTAACATGCTTAATGAGGTTAAACAAATGAAAGTTACAATAGTAAGGGGAGGATATATTAGAGAACCACAGGAGAATTATATGGTTCATTAGTGCCATACTACACCCTGGATTTATCATCTCATCCGTGCGGCCTTTCTGTGAGGGACTGTCCAATTATCTTACAAGTGGGTTTGGGGTCTCCAGTACATTCACGTCACATCGATTTGGTTGCTTGATTTTGAACTTCTGACTCATCTTCCCATCTACACCTCATGATAGCACAGGTTGGTGTGCTTCTTCCATGTGGGGTGTGTTGCTTCCCTGCTAGATGGCCGGCAGGTTGGTAATTCTCATGGCGTGAAAAATACTCAGACCGGAATGGATCTTTAACTCCAGCACGATGCCTCTGAGTGACTATTTGAGAAGCGCTGCACACAGTTCGTTCTAGCCAATCAGGTCCAGTGGCCTCAGTCCGCTGTGGTAGGAATTCACATGAGTTGTCTCCTGTAACGCGCATCACCACCCAGTGAAGGAGAAGAAGACACATGAAATATACAATCCTGAGAGTTAGGTTTGAGTTTGGCATGGCTACTTATTAGCCGAATGAATTCCGGCTAGTGCCTTATGTGGTTTCAGATGTATGGCAGTGACTCAGGAAAGCAATACTGTACTTCTCTTCGTAGACCTGAAAATAAGCAAGCAATGACCTTCTTAATAATGGATTTAAAATGTTCTCCTCCTTTATACCTCTGATTGGCTATTCTCTCCTCAGCATGTTTCAAAACAAGGGAACAGTGATGTCCTATTCGTAGCATGTGCCCTTCATGCGAGGTGATGACAGCGGCACTTCACTTCAGAGAACAACATTGACCAAATGTCAATAGACGTGCACCTGCCAGACATCTGACTCCACCACTCCAACGCACGGCCACCGTGTCGGTTCGTACTCACTGCAACCTGCTCTGTTTCAAAATTGTCAAGACCGTCAAAATCAAGGAGTCTAAGAATCAAGTCCAGGCCAGGGGAGGCTAAGGAGGCACAGCGAATGAACCTTAAAAGTTGGACCCTGGATGGGAATCCGAGAATAGAAAAGCGAAGTAAGGTAATAGCAATAATAATGCAGAAATGTCAATAACATGATGCGATTGTTGAGCTGATTTTGATTCATGACAAAACCATCTATGCCGAGAACTGTTCTGTAGGATTTTCAAAGCTATGAAAGCCAATCCCTGGGGTGGTTTTGAACCACCATCTTTGGGCAGATCGCTGAGTGCTTCAGTGTTTGCATCCTCAGGGACTCCACAAACAGAGTATAGACGTTAGTTAAGGCTATGTCAGTTTGTCTCGTTGATTGGATCACAATAGTGTATGCTACTAATAATAGGGAAAACTGGATGTGAGGTTTATGTGGCCACTATAATCTGCGCAAGTTTTAAAATCTAAACAGAGTTTGCTAAAAACAAAAACCACCAAAAACACACACAAGCTCCCTGACAATGTGTTAAGTATTCAAAAATAATTCTTATGTCATCACTGAATTCTCTCTTTTGTTGGATAACCTTTTTTATTTATTTTTTGACCCATCATTTGGATGATATAGCCTTAAGTTGGGCCTCCAGCCTGGGAGTTCCCCATCCTTTCCCGAAGAACCATTGCTCCTCCATGCTTGACTGCCTTCGATGACCTGCTGCTCTGAAGAGATGGAGCCTTCCTCCAGTCCCTCTCCCGGTTCCCTTGTGCTCCTCATTCTCAGGACGGCAGAACGTGACAAACCTACAGCCTGTGATGAACCAGATCTAATGACATTACCGTCGTTATGCCCTGGACTGAAGTTGATGTTCTCTTGTGCCTGATCTCATGGCTCTTTGTATGCAGGGCTTATTTCATCATTAAAAAAAAAAAATCAAACGAGTTGCCATTAAGTGGTTTCCACATCCCGATGACCCTGTGTTTCCCAGAATAGAACTGCCACTTCATAAGGCTTTCTTGGCCGTAAGCTTTAGGGAAGCAGATTGTGTGGCCTTTCTTTCACGATGCTGTTGAGTGGGTTCATTGCTGAGTGTCATTTAGTAGACGAGGACAAACCTTTGCATTACTCAATAATCAAACCAAACGCAGCGCTATCGAGTTGATTCCAACCCACAGCAACCCTAGGACAGAGTGGAATGGCTCTTTAGAGTTTCTAAGACTGTCAATCCTTCTGGAAGCTGACTGCCCATCCATCTGTCACAGCCTGGGAACTTCATTTCATTATACTTTTTTGTAGAGGACATAACTATGTCCTGAAAACCTAGAAAATACACTGGCTGTATGAACGGGGAGCCTTGTATCAGGTGACTGCGGTTGGTTCTGCATGGGCGGATTTCTCCAATCCATTTTGTTTTTGTTTTACTCCTGAGCCTCTTCTGTTTCAGGGGTCATCCACTCTTCCTTCTATTACCTTCGTGCCTACCTAACTTTCTGGGCTCCATCTGCAGACTACAGTAGTCTTTATTGAACACTCAGTTGCCATCAGAACACCATTAATGTGTCTTTCATCTTTAAAGGTGTTTTCGATTCTCGTCGTTCAGGGCCCTTGGCTTCTCAGAATTGACTCAGCAGCGGTGAGTTGTTGGTGGTAGTGGTGGTCTTTTGTGAGGCTTGTCATCCTCCCAGGTCACCTAATATTTGACTCCCTACCGTGTACTGAGTCTCTGATTTCTTTATATTTTGTACCAAAGTATTTCGCACACGAATGTTTGTTTATTGTTCTCTTCTCTCTTTGGTACATCCATATTTTATCCCTGCAACAACCTTATAAGCTCTTTTAGGACATAACTATTCTCCCCTATTTACTTTGTTTCTCTCATGGTCTCCAGCAGGGAGCTAGACACACAATAGAAACCAAGCTTTTTGCCACGGAGTCAATTCTGACTCATGGCCACTCCCTGTGTGTTCCCTTCGACAACTCAGCTGGTAGAAGGCCGGACAGCAGACATGTAATAGTTACTTGTTAGTGAATAATTAGTGGCTTATTCTAAACCAGCATTATGGGAGGATCTGGCAAAATATTGTACTCCTTCCAATTTAAATCCGTGCCCTGACAATGGTATCTAGGAGTTTTTAGTCAGCATTTTGTTGTCTTAGTTACCCAGAATTGTCATAGTGCAGCCGAATGGTTTATCCTAGTGCAGCCGAATTGTCTGTTACCAGTTGATTGCAGAACCACATCTAACGCAACGATTAATTTGTGCCCAGTGGCCAATGTAGACCATTTCTTAAAGGGAACATCCTTTAAAGGGTGTAGCTGCTTTTGTTTAAAGTTAATCACTCTTAATCCATCCACATAAAGGTAACCGCAGTAACCTTTACTTAGGTTTGCAATCAACACCCATGGAAGGAGCAATCAAGAAATCAAATGATATATTGCATTGTGCAAATAAATCTGTTGAAAAACAAACAACACCCCCCCCCCAAAAAAAAAAAAAACACCCTAAAAAACAAAAACTCTTTAAAATGTTAAAAAGCAAAGATGCCACTGACTGGAGCCATGGTTATTCCACCTCTCATGCACGTGAACGCTGCTTATTGACTAAGGAAAACGGAAGGATCAAGGGTTTTGAATGGTGTAGGTGAAGAAGATTGGCTGTATCATGGACTACCAGAAAGCAGATGCATCTTTCAGCAGAAGTACATCCAGAACACTCCCTAGAAGCAAGGAGAGTGAGCCTTTGGCTCAGTACTTAGGACATCCTATCCGAAGGGGCCAGTCCCTGGAGAAGACATCATTCTTGTTAAAGGAATGGGCCTGGAAAAAGCAAGAGCTTCAAGGAGACGGAGTGACACTGTGGCTGTAGCAATGAGCTCAGCTATGGCAACAGTTGTGAGGATGGCGGGAGAGCAGATGGTGTAACATTCCCATGCGGTATCACTTGGTGCCATAACTGACCGGGCAGACTGAATAACCACAGTTAATACATTTGCAAAGTGTAAATGAAAGAGATAAGCGCACATCACCATTTTTAAGCAGAACTGTCCCGACAGCACTTTCCCCTGACAGCATTCCCTCCCCCTGATGCCCGCCCCCTCAGATGGCCCCATCACAGTGGAATGCAGGTGTGTAAGTGCCCTTAGAGCAATTATTATTTAAACTACCCCTCTCTCTCCCCTTATCAAGAGATGCTGTCAGTCTGTCTCTCCAGGACAGGAATGTCCATTCCCTACCCCTGGGAGGAGGACAAGCTAGAGAAGAAATCCAGGAATGGGGTGATAAACCAAAGCGCCTGAAACTTTACCTAAATAGACTTTTGTTTTACTTCTGTCAATACCACTTAGTGGTAGATGTATTTTGACTTGCCTTTTCTTCTGCCTTCTGTATTCTACCCTCCCTGAATGATATAAAAGGAAAACGGCCAGGGAAAAGGGGGCGGCTGTCTGGAGAGACATTCCCTTTGGACATTTCCGCTGCAGCCAGGCGAGCCTGATATTGAAAGACTTCTTCGCTCATTCTAGTTGGACATTCTAGTGGTCTTCTTTTATCCAAACCGGCAACATAAACACATATGTACTCTTTAATAGAGTTTAGTGGGACTGGGCGGTATTTCATCCTTTTGCATGTAGGATCTCTGAGCAGGGACCAATTTAGCGGCCATTGTAGCAGTTCTACAGAAAACCTGAAAAGACCATGGATCCTAACTAACTCATCTTTTGTCTTAGATGTGCCAAGAAACAGCTTACTTCTTGATTCTTGGGTAAGATCAAATTTCAAGAGTCTTTCCCAAAGTATTCTCTAGTGGTGGATCAATAGAAATATTCATTTTGTTACAACTAAAACAGGAGCCGTTAGAGGAAAAAATGTGTCTTTGAATATTCATTGCATTTGCTGTAAAAATGACAACATTTACATTTCAGTCTTGCCAACAAATCAATTTGTAAAATTCTGGGTGAGTGTTATGGTTGCTCCATCAGAAAAAGAAAAAGCCCATTAATGTCTCAGGAGAGATTAAGGCTTCAATGACATTTAAAGGTAACAATACTACTGCGTACCATTATCATATTTAGTAACAAAGAAATAGATCCACTTATCCCCTTTCATCCCAATGTTTCTCAGGTCCACTCCTCCTTCCCTCCCCCTCCCTGCCTTCCCGACTTTTTCCTGGAGCAAATGCTGGCCTTGGGCCTGAAACGGTTGCTTGTGTGAGAGTGCTTACTTCCCTAATGTTCTTCTTCGCTTCTTGGCCGAGTCAAATAAACAGTGAATGACAGCAGCATTCGAGCACCAGGCTCCGGCTGTGCCTGAACCTAGGCTTTTCCGAGGCTTTTAACGGCAGGACCTCACAAGTGTCTTTTTCCTCGACACGGTTATTTTGCTTCAGCCAAGGTTGATTGAGGTGGTGCGTAGTGATAGAGAGAGTTCTGAAATAGATGTATGCTGTGATCTCTTTTCAGGATCTTCCACAGTTTGGGCAAGAATGTAGAGAGATCATCTGCTGCAAAAATTAATCAATATTCTATTGTTGGTCATTATTATGTGAGCTGCTTCTCATTTTTCCAAAATCTTCCATGTGGGTAAAAAGCTGTTTTTAAGTCCAATGGAATCCAAGGGACTTTTCACTGCATTCCATTGAACTCAGGGGACCCAGAAAGCTAAACCTCCTTTTTCTTTGTTCAAGCTTGTCTGCAGTTCATACTAATAAACATCACATGCCTGTTTTGACCCATTTCATTCTGCTATCTTCTGTCATGTCTGTTCAGCACAAAGTGCCTTCTTTTGACTTCAACAGTGCACATCACATTCCTACCAACCCAGAGTTTTAAAAATAAATTGTGCCCAAAACAAACAACATAAAAGAAATTGTACCACCTGACAGACAATAGCTATTGGTGACTGGAGGCGTTTTTGTTTTTTTTTTCTTTTAAAAATCATTTTATTGGGGGCTCCTGTAACACTTACCACAATCCATACATCCATCCATTGTGTCAAGCACATTTGTACATTTGTTGCCATCATCTTTCTCAAAACATGTTCTTTCTACTTGAGCCCTTGGTATCAGCTCCTCATTTCCCCCCTCCCTCCCTGCTCCCCCTCCCACAGGAACCCTTGATAATTTATAAATTATTATT